AGAAGTTATATTTCTGATCAACTTACGTAAAGTAAGGTCCAAAGTAAAAGTAATGCTTTGGCATGATTTTTATGATGGCTTGAAATAAGTAATCCATTAGTAGGTCCAATATGGGGTGTGCGATAGACTTACCTCCACGTGGTGCACCCTAGGCAACGTATACTCATACAGCAAAAATGTCTATCAAACGGTAGTTGACTTCTCACTTCAAACTACCATCACCTCACTCTATGCCATATACGACTATTTCCACAGTACTCTTCTTACCTTTTTTCTACCTTTGTGTTTGTCTCTTACATCTTTGAAACACTCTTCTGTTCTCCTCCCTCTCGACTTTTTTTCAATTTGATGTTCCTTCTCCTCTGTGAAGTCTGAAGTCAACTAAAGGGCTAATGATAACCATCAAGACGCCTGCCATTTGATATAAATAAATAAATAAGTAAAAATGTTTCTCTCCTCTGTGAAGTTCGAAGTCAGCTAAAGGGCTAATGATGACTTTCAAAACGCCTGCCATCTGAAATAACTATATTTTACAGTTCTGAACTTCAATGAGCTTATATGTACTTAAAATTATTTCACGACTAGTTAAATTGACTATTTGGAGTGCGCACAAGTTTTAGTAATTCAACTCATAGGCGTTCCTAGTTTTAATCCATTTTAAATTTACTAACAAATTCATATTTGGATTAGTTATTTTATTTTTAAATATATAATTTACGAACAATGATTAAATAATTTTTACGAATATTTACTCAAATAAGGTACATTTGAAACTGAAGAGGTAGCATAGGGCCATTACTTGCCACCCAGCATATTTCGCTGATTCCCCGAAATTGGATCGTCTTCGCATATAAACTTATTTCTAACTTGCCGCTTGATAGTAAGTTTAACATGGCAACTCCTGCCAGCATTTAACTTTTAATTGCAGTTGACAAAACAATGTTGATAAAAGGGGAATTTTCGTCATTACGTCTAATCTTGCAAAATTTTAGTTATTGCAAAAAATAAATATTTAGTATTAAAAGTAAATGTGAAGCAGAACATCAAATACTTAATGTCGTTGTCTTAACCGCATATAGTTTAATGTATGACTCAATCGAATCAACTTCCATGTGATCAGCTGGCAATTGCACTGGTTAACTTATGAGCGAATATTAAATGTAACTTTCTAATAACTGCGGCTTTAAGCAAATGTCCACCAACCTCAGCTTGGTTTAACCAGCACTTTCCTTAATGGCTCTCGAGAGGCCTATTTTGGATTAATATCCACTCTCTTGTCAGCGGATCATCCTATAGGTATGAAGGCTGGGTAAAACCCTCTATACAACAAAATTTCGCTTAATCTTTTCGAACTTGGGATAGTCAAAATAAGCTGCAAGTGAATGAAGCTCACTCCCATTTAACAGATCATCCATGACTTATGGAAAAAAGGAGATGAAATATTATTGGTCAGTACAAATCTGTTCCTCAACGGTTGTAAATAAAAAATCTTGAAATATGCTTTTCTTTATTCCATACCTGATTTATTTAGATCTATATTTAACACTTTTCATTTATTAATCCTATCGTACCAAAGGACTTATTTTTTCTAGTCTCAAATGCTTATTTCTTTACTATCGGAAGTAGATGAAAATTGCTTGATCAGCACTTTATTCAATTTAATTTCTTGTCATTGATTCTGCATTCACTAAACTTGAGCAAGTGGGTCACTTGACGACAATTTTTATGCTCAGGATTGACCTCAAACATTAAATTATAGGCTACCAAGGTCAACTGACCACTTCCAAGTTTGGTGGCCGAAGGTGGTAACTGAATAGATCTGATCTTCGCTGTTGCTAAGGTAAGAGATTTAATTACTCGTACCTCTTTGAAAATATTCTCATGGAGGGTAACGATTACATGTGCCTTATACATTTTTATAGCACCGTGGCTAATAAAAAATTGAGCTGTAATTCAGATTAACATGTCCAATTAGCTTTGTAAATAAAATTAATTTATTTTTAATATTTTCCTCCTATTTTGTCTTTATTTGCAGGATCATAAAACGGATATTTCTTTTCAGTTTATTTGGATAACTTTCTCCAATGGGAAATCGAAATACCACTGGTTTCAAAAATTCAGTGATTAAAAGGATAATTGAATATAATTAGGTTCTTCAACTCATTTATGGAAACAATTGAATAATTTTAGTGGTCCTTTATTGATTATTTAAAAAATATATATTTAGTATTTTCAAGTATATTTGGTCAACTTCTACTGAAGAATCTTGTGGGTGAAGGTAGAATTGTACAAAATGAAAGTAAAATATTAACAATCCGAACAATTAAAGTGGCGATTTTTGTTTGGATCAATTTGTTATAGATTTAGTTTTATTTGAGCGATATTTCATAGATCTGAAGATAATTGAACAAATTAAGCAAAGATGTAGCAATAGTGAATGTTCCAAATGCACATATTTGCATTTTGCAGGCATTAGGTAATCTCGATATGTTCGATAGCAAGCAGGCTTTACTGAAAAAGTGCATAGAGTCTCCAGGTGGATAAGAAATTACGATTTTATTGATAGCATTTGCCATTAGTGATACCAATTTACTAAAAAATACGTGTCCTCATTTTACTTCGCCTATTATACCAAAAATTGGCAAAAATAGGTTTGGAATGGGAAAGTACACTGCAATTTTGTCCTCACTAACAAAAAAGGACTTTGAATTGATCGGTATAAACAGTTCCTTTACTGTGTTGACATTAATGGCCGAAGGACCATTTTCATTGTCTAATTATGCCATTAAAATTTCGTTAATTACTTTATTGCTAACACACTTTGATATATATTCAATAAATACAAATATCACTTAGTTACTTCTATTTGATTCATCAGTTTACAGAAAATATAAACAAAATGAAAGAAATAAACTTTTGCTTGAAGACATGAATAGGCTGGGATTTAATTGAAGGAGTTATTAATCACTGGAATACTTGAAAAATAATTCAAATGAAAGCGGTATATGCATTTATTTACACGAAAAGAAATACACTACTGAATAAAATTAAGCAGAGTTTACTGAGAAGAAGGCTTGTTGCTGAGATCAATCGGGACCTCATCGTCGAAAGGAATATGGAAAGGCAACCACGGCGCTGTCTGATCACCTGTTCGACTGTTAACAATAATTGATTGGCTGCTGCTACTATTTCGAAATGATTGGCGCTTGTTGCAGAACCAGACGCGAATCACCTCACGATCGTAGTTCAGCTGATTCGCAAGCTGTGATATTCTTGTTCCTAAAATAATCAAAGAATAGAATTCTCAAACTTGAGTAAAATAGGGTAAAACGAATTACCATTTTGAAGACAGCATGACCAATTTCTCCGCACGAGTCTCATTATTGGGGAACACATTCAAAGAGAACAAATTAAGTAGTTACTGGAATAAGTTAAGTAATTGCAAGATCCTCAGAATTTCACAGTATTTTTGGAAGATGAAATAATTATCCATTGCCCTGATAAACGTGATTTTTGTAATAAGTATTTACCAAATATGCCCATAATTAGTCACCTATTTGTGTTGGAGTGTCCACCAAGATTCACTAACTTTAATTCCAAGATATCCCATTATCCTGACCTGTAAATTAACTCTTATCTAATTTTTACTCACCTCACACTTATTTAGGGCAAAAAGTTCTGACTTCAACAACAATGTTAATAATGTTATTAGCAAATTTTTAACAAACGTTCCCACAATTATAATTCGTAGACTTCTAGTTTGTCATTTTACGCATTTAAGTTATTCGATAAAATGGAAACTTCAACCTCCAATTTTGAAATAATCAATCGTTACTTTGTAATATCACTCGACGTTGCCTGTGTTGACACTAGGAATTCAAAAGCATCAGTCAAAGGTTTGCAAATACATTGGTTGGCCTATTCTTAGGTACTAAGACCCCCCC